GAGGGATCCTTGGGGAATGTGCTGAAGTGTGTGTGTGTGGTATGTATAATATGTACGTGGTATGTGTGCTCATGTGAAATATGTGTGTAGTGTGAGTGTAGTATGTAGTATGTGTGTTATGTGTGTAGAGGGTGTGCATGTGTGTGGTGGGTATTTGTAGTGTGTGTGTGTACATGTGTATATGTAATACAGTGATGTGTGTGTATGTATGTAGTGGGTATAGTGTTTGTGGGTATTTGTAGTATATGTGTGTAGTGGGTATAGTATGTGTGGCATGTACCGTGCATGCTCATGTGTAATATGTTTATGTAGTGGGTATACGTGTGTATAGTGGGTGGGGGTGTTTGGGGTGTGTGGGTGTGTGTGTAGTGGGTATAGTGGTGGTGGGTATTTGTAGTGTGAGTGTGTAGTGTATGTTTGACTAGGCAGGCACATGTTCGGGGTGTCCTGACCAGACCGCCCCCAGCCCCCAGCTCTCCCAAGCTGAAGGCCTCTGAGCTTGTCTGTGGCCCCTCCCCACAGTCCTCACCCCAAGCCTTCTCTCAATCACAGCCTCAGCCCAGACAGCATTTTGTGTTGCTATCTTGTCTCACAGCAACCTTATGAAATCTTAATGAAAGGCTTTTTTTTTTTTTCTGGTCAGGCAATCGGGGTTAAGTGACTTGCCCAGGGTCACACAGATAGTATCAAGTGTCTGAAGCTGAATTTGAACTCGGGTCCTCCTGACTCCAAGAGTGGGTGCTCTATCCTTTGCGCCACCTAGCTGCCCTGGAGAGAAATCTTTTTATCCCCATTTTACAGATGAGACAGCTGAGGCTTAGAATATAAAGGACGTGACAATACTCACAATAGCTAGTAAGGATGTCATACACAGGATTTGAACTTGGGTCTCCCAATTCCAAATCGAGTTGTCTTTCTCTACAATGCATTCATTTAGTCGTTTGGTCTGTGAAACTATTTTCAGTCAGTTGTTTTTCAGTCATGTCTGACTCTCATAACCTCATTTAGGCTTTTCTTGGCAGAGATACTGGAGTGGTTTGCCATTTCCTTCTCCAGCTCATTTGACAGATGAGGAAACTGAGGCAAACAGGGTTAACTGACTTGTCCAGGGTCACACATCTAGTAAGTGTCTGAGGCCAGATTTGAACTCACCAAGATGAGTCTTCCAGACTCCAGGCCCAGTACTCTGTGCACTATGGCGCCCCCTAGCCTCCTAGACACCTGAGGTAGGGAGATTAGTTCAGAAGCTATTATAGTTTTGAAATTCCTTTCCAGCCCTTCAGCCACGGCCAGATTATTTTGCCTAGAAGGTTGAACAACTTAGCTAAATTAGAGCCTTAAAGTTCCTTCTTGTTTCTAGACCTCAGTTTCTTCATCTGTAAAATGGAGCTTACGGACTAGGTCAGGGATGGGGAACCTGCAGCCTCGAGGCCACGTGTGGCCTTCTAGATCCTTGGGTGCGGCCTTTTGACTGAGTCCAAGTTTTACAGAACAAATCCTTTTATGAAGGGAATTTGTTCTATGAAGTTTGGATTTGGTCAAAGGGCCGAGCTTGAGGACCTAGAGGGCCACACATGGTCTGGAGGCCATAGGTTGCCCACCCCTGGATTAGGGGATCTCCTAAAGCTCTAAACCCAGTGATCCCAGGTGGTCCCCTATGGTGAAAAAAATCGATAGCTGTCAAGCTGGAGAAGACCTGGGTTTAAAACCCACCTCTAAGGGGGAAGCTAGGTGGCAGCTAGGTGGCGCAGTGGATAGAGCACCGGCCCTGAAGTCAGGAGGACCTGAGTTCAAATCTGGCCTCAGACCAAACACTTGACACTTACTAGCTGTGTGACCCTGGGCAAGTCACTTAACCCCAATTGCCTAAAAATAAATAAATAAATAAATAAATGACCCCACCTATGTGACCTTGGGTAAATCCCTCACCTCCGCGGGCCTTAGTTTCCTCATCTGTAAAATGAGAGGGATGGCCCAGACAGCCCCAGAAGTCCCTTCCAATTCTAGATCTGTGTTTCGATAAACGGGCTGGGAGCTCTTAGGGGAGAGGATTTGGGGGAGGGGCTGGTCCTGTAGTGCTGACGTCACAAAAAAGGTAGACCTCAGCAGCAGTCCCTCCCCCCATCCCGCCCATCCAAGGTGATGCACAAGGCCCCACACCCCCTGGGGGCAGCCTGACACTGCCTCGGGATTGGCGCTAGCCCAAGCCCCAGGGTTCCTAACAGCAGGAGGCCTGGGGGGCTACCTCCTTGCCAGCTCTTTTGCTGGGCTGTGATTTCCTATCCCTCCCATCTGTCTGACTCAGGAGGGAAAACTAGTGATCCATTCACCCGCTGCCGTTTGTTCCCGCAGCAATTATCCACCATTGTTGTGGCAACCTGGCAAATGCTGGGTGTGGGGTTGGGAGGAAGGCTCCCTGGTGTTAATTACACCCGGGGTAATTGTTAGGAAACAAAAGGAGGAGGTGCAAAATTGCTGGGTGACCACTAACTTAATCCTGCTCATCGTTCTCCATCCCTCTATCCCCGGAGCCTCAGAGAGCCCGGAGAGGCACAGCATTGACTGACAGGCAGGATTTCTGGGGCCTCTGCCCCGCCCCTCCCCAGCTCCAGCCCTCGGCCAGCCCCGGCCCTTTTCTCCTCTGGGTCATCTTGGACAGGTCCTTCCAACTCAGTTCTCTCTGCTCCTGAGTTTCTTCTTCAGGAAAATGATCTCTGCAGGCCCTCCCAGCTCTGACATTCTGTGCTCTAAGGGCCCTCCCAGCTCTGACATCCTCTGTTCTAAAGGCCCCTCCCAGCTCTGACATCCTGTGTTCTAAGGGCCCTCCCAGCTCTGACATTCTGTGTTCTAAGACCCCTCCCAGCTCTGACATCCTGTGTTCTAAGGGCCCTCCCAGCTCTGACATTCTGTGTTGTAAGGGCCCTCCCAGCTCTGACATCCAGGGTTCTAAGGGCCCTCCCAGCTCTGACATTCTGTGTTGTAAGGGCCCTCCCAGCTCTGACATCCAGGGTTCTAAAGGCCCTCCCAGCTCTGACATTCTGTATTCTAAGCTCCCTTCCAGTTATGATATCCTGTGTTCTAATGCCTTTTCTAGTTCTGACATTCTATGTTCTAAGGTGGCATTATCTCCTCAGATTAGCTGTTCAGAGAGAAGAACCCTGAGAAGATTGGGTTTGGGGTTGGGATTTGATGGGGAGGAGAAAGAGGTCTGAGGGTCAATGCTGCCAGTGCCGGGAAGGCCTTAGTGGCATGAGATGCCTACGGGGGTAGGGGTACACAAGACAGCGTACTCCTTCTCCCTCGTTTCACCGGGAATCGCCCCATCCCATGAGGGTCTGGTCTCCATCCCGCTCTACCTTCCACTTGCAGGTTCATCCCTCCCTCCACCAGCCCCAGATGCTGAGGACAGCTTTCCAGATCTGGATCTCCTCCCTCCTCCGCCACCCCCTCCAGCCTTCCTGCTCCCACCAGATGAGGAGGGTCTCACCCAGGGAGGGGATTTGCTCTCAGAAGACCTACAGCAGCTGCATGTGGTCCCTCCACCGCCCCCCCTCCAGGTACCAAAGCCCTAGGAAACTCAGCAGCCTCCCCGCCACCCCCACAGCCGTGCCAGATGGGCAAAGACAGAGGCCAAGAAGGGAAAGGGGGATCCTTGGCCTTGGAGAGTGTTGGACCCACTCCTTAACCTCCACAGAGCTCCTAAAGCCTTATAAGTGGAAGATGTACTGTGCTCATAAAGGCCCCAGAGAAGGGGAGCCCATGCCCTTCCCCAGCATCCTTTCCAATATCTAATAATAATAATAACAGTAACAGTGATAAGAGTAGCAATAGTAATCATAATGATGTTGATGAATCACTCCCTCTCCATGCTTGTTAAGCACTGCTTGATAAGCAGTTTATATTCTTCCCTCATTTCATATTCACAAAGTCCCTAGGAAGTTTGGAGTGGAGGAAATTGAGGCCAAGAGATATGAAATTACTTGCCCAAAGTCACATAGTTTGTAAATGTAACCTGGGGCTCAAACCCACTCTTGACTCTTTGGTTCAGGCCTCTTTCCATTATCTTCTCTATTTGAAAGACATTGCTTGTGTCCACCCAGAACCTCCTATGCTAAAAGAAGAGCTATGTGTTTCTTAATCTGCAAATGAGGCAGTTTGAATAAATGATCTCTAAAGTTCCTCTGAGCTCTGACATCCCATGTTCTAAGGGCCCTCCCAGCTCTGACATCCTATGTTCTAAGGACCCTCCCAGCTCTGACATCCCATGTTCTAAGGGCCCTCCCAGCTCTGACATTCTCTATTCAAAGGCCCTCCCAGCTCTGATATTTTATGTTCTATGTAATCTTTTTGGTCATAGACCCCTTGGGCAGTCTGGTAAAGCCTATGGAGTCTTTTCAGAATAATGTTTTAGTTGTTTGTTTTAAATTCATAACTGAAGGAAATAATAAATTTCACTAAAAAAAGAAAAAGATGGGTTTTTTTTTCCCATCCCAGTTCATAGACCTCTTTGGGTGTAGACCCCAGGCTTAGAACTCCTATTCTAAGGTCTCTCCCAGTTCTGATATTGTGTTCAGAGGCCTCTTCCAACTCTCTTCAAGTATTTAAAAAAGGATGAACCTTGTTCTTGGCCCAAGAGAGCTCAGCTGAGAGCCATGGGAAGACATAGTTGGGAAGGGACAAACTGAGACTTGGTGACTGTTAGAGCTGCCCTACAGTGGAATTGGCTGCCTCCATGGGGAGCGGGATCCCCCTCACAGAATGTCTACAGGCCAAGATCAGATGACCTCTTGTCTGCTATATTGGACTAACCTCCAATTGTGAAATCCTATGATTTGAACATTCGATGTCCTCAGCTCCTTCCAGCTCTGAGATTGCATATTCTGAGGTGCTACAAATCCATTTCTCTGGCTTTTGTCCTCAGCGGACAGAAGAACCAGCTGGTTTCCCAGCCATCCTATGATAACCAGACACTAGCTTGTGTGGGGGCCAGTGGGGGTAGGGGGGAAGGGTTGGAGAATGGAGGGGCGAGAAGTGCCCACTTGTCTACTGAGGCGGGCTCAGGCCAAAAGCCAAAGGGCTCAGGGGAAAGCCAGGTCTTAAGCAATTTCTCGAGAACTAGGAGTAATCAGCTGTGGTGTTATGGGAAGAGCCTGGGGCTGAGAGGAGGGAGACCTGAATTCTAGTCCCAATTCTGCCACTAATTTGTCCTATGACCTTGAGGAAGTTGCTTCCTCCTATTCCAGGGCCTCTGTTTCCCCATCTGTAAAATGGAGATAAAAATAGCCACTTGGCCAGGGTGAGGGACCCATTGTAACGGACGTGCTTTGTCACTGACGAGATGCGAAGGCCGTAAGGCAGGGCACAGGGTCAGAGCTAATGGTGTGTCTCTGCCCTTGCTGGGAACCATTGGCATTGGTACTTTCCTTTTTGTCTCCGTTACAGGCCCTCCCTGAGCCCCGTCAGCTCAAGCCCCGGCGCAACCACCTCGAGCAAGTACAGGAAGAGTTGCCACGACCCCCTGAGGAACCAGACCAAGTCCCAGGGAGGGAGGAGTCCACAGGTATCCCCATGGGTAGTGGGCAGGGCTGAGGGGGGGCTCCAGGCGGTCGGGTTCTGGGAGCTTGCCTGCTCTGTTCGGGGACAGCTGGAGGTATTGGGAACAAGGAGGAGAGGGGGTGCTTGTCACTCTCCATGCAGGCGAGGTCTGAAAAGCACTTCTGCTTCCTACACTGAGCGTAACATTTTAGGGGAATTAGAGTCCAAGGCTGGCTTTTCTACTGAGACGTCACGTGACCTTGGGCAATTCCCTACCCCTTCTGGGCTTCAGCATTCCCTCTCGAAAAATGAAAGTGTTGGACTAGGTGATTCCTCAGGTCCTTTCTAGCTCTGATATTCCATGGGCTGAGGCCCCTCCCAGCTTTGACCTTCTGTGTTCTAAGGGCCCTCCCAGCCCTGACATCGTGTGTCCTAAGGGCCCTCCCAGCCCTGACATCCTGTGTCCTCAGGGCCCTCCCAGCCCTGACATCCTGTGTCCT